AGCTCCCAGAGTAATCCTTGAAGTCAGCCGCCATGTTGGGTCCCGCCACGCCATGCGGTCTCCTCAGTAGGTTGCCTATATCGGCCGTGATCCACGGGCGATCCGGGCGTGTTTTTTTTTTTTTTTCTCCCCATCGGTGGAGGAGTGTTAGCAGGCTGTCTGGAGCGTGGTAGGGTGCTTCTTTCGGCTGATTTTGAGCCTTATTGGGCTGCGGTCGATGGAGAGCAGTAGGTATGCGACCGTTCATGCCGAGAGCTGGCTCCGCCCCCCCAGTTATACCTTTTGATCAATGTTTTCATACTAATTTCTGTTATGTTGGTTATTTTTAAAAAGTGCTATAAATATACATGACATAACGATAACATAATTTATTATTTAATTTCTCAAGACATTGTTGGCCAACAGCAAACTTTCATGATGAGGCCAGTTAACACATTAACATAACACTATAACCATACCTTCACAAATTTTACAGTCTTTACTCAATTATTTGATAAAAGCCACATGGATTTAAACCATGAAAGATGGCTTATTAGCATTATATCATATATGCTTAATTGACTCTATGTTAAACATCTTAGAAAACAGATCTCAATTACTGAATGACCTTCAGAAACACATAATTGACATAAAATATATTCAAGAAACCAATTTTAAAGATCATGCATCAAAACGCTGCAATAAGAATTATAAGCAATCATTGAAACGCAGTTATTCAAAGACAGAGAAGATGATGCAGTAGAACAATTTCTGTCGTTCTTTAACTTTTCTATATCTTTGGCACAGTCCAAGTATCTGTTTATTGTAAGGATACAAGGGTTTAATGAGTAAGTCCCTCTGAGTTTTTGTCAGTTCATTTCAACAAGGTTATGATGCTTGGAGTGTCCTTTTAAGGTCAAACATCTATCTCAAAGGGCAGAATGGCTCTGCAAGAAAATCCCAAATCTTTAGGAGGCAAAAAACACAACACTTAAAGCAAAGGACATGCTATATATTCACATCTACATTGCTACATGTAAAAAATGGTTACTTTATCAAAAGAACGCCTAGGACAAGTACAGTCCTATAAAATGTACTTGTGGTCAGGGACAAAAGGCTAAACTTGACCCCAACTACCTAAAGCAAAGTCAGTTTAAGTGTGCTGGAATCGACAGTTGGGTTACGCCTCTTACTAAACAAGGGGTACCTAAAGAATAATATTATAAATTGTAAGGGAGAGGAGGATGGGATTTCGTCCAGATCACTCAGTATCTAGAGCAGGGGTTCCCAACCCAGTCCTCAAGTACTTCCTACCAGTCTAGGATTTAAGAATTACCATGCTGTGTCTGAAGTGTTTTTTTTTTTTTTTTTTTTAAAAAGACCTTAGATACAATTAGGTAATCCCTAAATCCTGGTATGTTAGGGGGTATTTGAGGACTGGTTTGGGAACCACTGATCTAAAGGTACAAGCCACAAGCGTTTTAAAGGCAGACTAATCCCTCCCACAACTACAGGCCAAACGACACAAACATTTCTGATATGCCATCATAGGGAAGGGATGGACAACTGCTGTCCATCCCTTCCCTATCCTGTCCTTCAACAACTGCTGTCCATCCCTTCCCTATCCTGTCCTTCACTGGCCATCTCCATATATAACTCTACTCTTACATCTGCCTTGAACACTGCAGCGCCACTCCAAGCAAGCACCTCAAGGAGGACCCGCCCCCAACCGTGGCATACTAAATCAACGCGCTACCTGCAAAGATGCTCCCGGTGTGCTGAACGCTCCTGGAGGAAGTCTCGCACCCAGTCAGACTTTCTCCATTATAGATTCTTACTGTGTTCATACAGTGCAGCCCTTGCCCTTGCCAAACAGTCCTATTTTTCCTCTCTCATTAGTTCATGTTCCCGCAACCCCAGGCGTCTCTTTGACACCTTTAATTCTCTTCTTCGCCCCGCTGTGGCCACCCCCCAAACCAACCTTACTGCTGACAACTTTGCATGTTACTTCACTGACAAAATTGAAAAGCTAAGGAAAGAATTCTCCCCTCCTTGCCTTTCTGTTTCTCAATCACACATTGATCATGCCTATCCTATCCTTCAGACATTCTCCCCAGCCACTGACCAAGAGGTGGCTGCTCTTCTTTGCTCCTCTCGCCCCACCACTTGCCCGCTCGATCCTGTCCCGTCTCACCTTATCAGATCTCTCTCCACTTGTCTCGTGCCTTCTCTAACACACATCTTCAACTGCTCGCTCTCTTCTGGCATCGTCCCTGCTGACCTTAAACATGCCACTGTAGTACCTATACTAAAAAAACCATCCCTTGACCCGTCCACCCCCTCTAACTACCGTCCCATATCCCTGCTCCCTTTTTCCTCAAAGCTTCTGGAAAGACTCGTCTTTACCCGTGTGTCTCATTTCCTCAATTCCAACTCTCTCCTTGACCCCCTTCAATCTGGCTTCCGCCCTCTCCACTCTACAGAGACTGCCCTTATCAAAGTTACTAACGACCTAATCGCAGCTAAATCCAAAGGCCACTACTCCATACTAATTCTTCTTGACCTCTCGGCGGCCTTTGACACCGTTGATCATGCTCTCCTTCTTCAAACTCTGCAATCGCTTGGTCTCTGTGACTCTGTCCTCTCGTGGTTTTCCTCTTATCTCTCCCAACGCTCATTCAGTGTCTCTTTTTCTAATGATACCTCCTCCCCTCGCCCTGTCTCGGTTGGAGTCCCCCAAGGCTCCGTCCTTGGTCCCCTTCTATTTTCTCTTTACACTGCCTCTCTTGGCAAACTTATTACCTCATTTGGTTTCCACTACCACCTGTACGCTGATGACACCCAGCTATATCTCTCCACCCCGGACCTCTCCCCTGCTGTCCTGCAACGTGTCACTGCTTGCCTTTCTTCCATCTCTGACTGGATGTCCTCCCGCTTTCTGAAACTCAATCTCTCAAAAACTGAGCTCCTTGTCTTTCCTCCTCCTAATACTGATCCTCCTCTTTCGCTCTCCCTTCAAGTTTGTGGTACCAACATCAGCCCATCCTTGCAAGCGCGCTGTCTTGGCGTCATACTTGACTCTGGTCTCACCTTTGAGCCTCACATCCAGCATGTTGCCAAATCCTGTAGATTCCATCTTAAAAACATAGCCCGCATCCGCCCCTTTCTTGCACCAGATACTACCAAGGAGCTTGTCCATGCTCTAATAATTTCACGCATGGATTATTGTAACCCTCTCCTGCTTGGTCTTCCCAAAAGCCGTACTGCACCCCTACAGTCTGTAATGAATGCTGCTGCTAGACTGATTTTCCTCTCTAGTCGGTTCTCTCACACCTCACCCCTCTGCCAGTCCTTACATTGGCTTCCTGTGTGCTATAGGAGTCAATTCAAGGCACTAACTCACACCTATAAAGCACTGAACAACTCTAGCCCCTCTTATATCTCCTCACTGATCCACAGGTATGTCCCTTCTCGGTCTCTCCGCTCTGCCCGTGACCACCTCCTGTCCGTTGTCCGCACCCGTACGGCCAACTCGCGCTTGCAGGACTTCTCGCGGGCGGCTCCCTTCCTATGGAATAGCCTGCCTACCGCCATCCGACTCTCCCCTAGTCTTGCATCTTTTAAGAAGTGCCTTAAAACCCATCTCTTTAGGAAAGCTTATGGCCTCCAAGACTAACCCCTACCTCACATACCCGTCTCTTGCCCTCTCCTAAAGGGCTGCCCACCTTATTTGATTGCACATTCCTGTCCTAATGTGTTTTCCACCCCACCTCCTATAGAATGTAAGCTCGATTGAGCAGGGTCCTCTTCAACCTATTGTTCCTGTAAGTTTATTTGTAATTGTCCTATTTATAGTTAATTCCCCTTTCATAATATTGTAAAGTGCTACGGAATCTGTTGGCGCTATATAAATGGCAATAATAATAATAATAATAATAACCGACGAACCAACAGGGAAAGAAAGGTGGTGAATTAACCTAAAAGCACCCAGTTCTTTCTTAGGGACCAAACCCAGAGGGGATACCCGCAAGTTGTCAAATGGTGGGTGGGAAAAGGGGCCAGCCATACACCCTAAGCTCACTTCCTCCCTCAACTTATCTGCTAAGATAGCCTTCTTTCCTTGAACAGACGATAAATTCTAAACATAAAACGCCTCCGGAAACACTCAAAATGGGTTAATATAACCTTCTGTGAAACCTTCCCAAAGAATTTCCGCCTCTCGACATTTAGGATACCGTATAAGCCACAGATGGAGGCTTTCCGCCTTCACCAGGGTCCTCATTCCTAGGAACGACGCCAATCTAGATTAAGGTTTTCCCCTCTTAAAACAACGCACCACCGGGTGGGCTCCTCCACAATTGGAGCATTTATGTTTGAAACAGCAGCTACTGTACCATCTGCAAAGGATCTTGTTGAAGAGCCAGCAAATGCCTGCAACAGGAGTGCCGGCGGGTGCTGGAAATGTCACCGGGGGTATAGCATCGTCAATAAAAAGCCATAAGTTGCAGTCTTGTATACTGAAATCCATATTAGGTCTAACCGCAATTTTTTTGTCTAAATTGTGGGTCATACTTGAGTCAACATTGACCCCCATAGATTTTGTAAGCCCCCCCATATTAAGTCCAAGTATGCAAACAGGAAAGGGGCCCGCTCAGGAAAATTACTTCATAGTATACTTGCAAAAGTAACAAAACCTTGGAGCAAATTTCCGAAGGTCCAAGGAAGCTGCTTACCCTTTCCCCCTTCCGATAGATCACCACGACGCAGTCTGTCCACTGTTTCCTTATCTAGAGGTACAAGAGATAAGAGGTCTACAAACTCACCCTTCAAAATATTATCCTTAACCTCCGTAGGCACGTAGAGACCCAATGGGGACACTTCACAAACTGGGCCAAGTTAGGGGCAGTAACTGTAGCCTCCGCACCCATAGGAATCGAGCTGTCCCTTGAGCAGCAAGAGAATCACTTATCTAAGACTGCCCTAAGCAGACCTATGACTTCGCCATGCTGGGCATGAGACCCTCACTGTAACTGCGCAGATTGCCAAGCGCGAGCGCAATTATACTCACTGGTCTGAAGCAGCGAGTCCAGTCTGTCCACTCTCTGAATTACCAAATTACCAGGAACACTCTGCTCTCCCAGCCAACTTGCACTTGCAGCAGACATTCGGCGGGTTCCATCAACCGATTCCTGATGTCTGTGAGGATCAGACTGTCGATCCTCTCCCGAATCCTGAAATATATGCAAATCAAACAGTTGAAGATCTCCCAAAATGCCTCTCAAGCGAAGCACTGAAGTGATCACCGAAATTCGCCATGCGAACATCATCCAACTCCCGAACATCATCAATGCGTCTGCGTTCAGCACTTTACGCTTCCAAACACCGTCCCTTCACATGCGTTTAGCATTGTCAAACTCCTGAACACCATGCACACGTGATCGTTCGGTACTCACCGCCTCCTGAACACTTTCCGACCTTCTCTGTTCACGGACTTCTAACTCCCGAACACTGTCCGCTCGGTTGAATTTGGGAGTTTCATACGAAACCAGGACCTGTAACGTCCGCGAAGGCTCCCGAACGAACATCACATACGCACCCCGCTGAGACTGCTGAGCATCAGTTCGTCGATTACAGCATGCAGCCGCACGCACCTGCATAATTTCCTGTGGATCCGGAAGAGACGAGTGCGGGCTACGAGACCATCCAGTGCCATCTTGCTGACTCGAGACGCCATCTTGAGGAAAGGTTCAAACCTGGATTCCCGACGCCTGTAAGTTCTTCCCAACCTACTTCCCGCACCAGAACTGGATGTTTCATGCCGCGAACCAGTAGCGCTCGGTCCCAGACTTGTAGAAGCCTCAGGTACATTCCTTGGATGCCTCACAGGACTAAAAGACAGCCTGGATGGAGGCCTGGAGCAATGGTCCCATCTCCTAGACCAAGGGAAAGCTACATCTGTCACCGGTGTCATGGGCTGAGGATCAGGAATGACCCCCTTCAACAAGGAGGCGTAGGAGTCTGCTCCATGGGTCCTATGGAAGGACTGCAATAGGGTAAGTAAGGCTTGCTGAGTCATGTCAGCTTCTCCAGCCATTACTAAGTAAATGTAATAGCCAATATTAATTAATAATTAATGATAATTCATGTAATTTCCTAATTTCTGACAGGAAATCAACACAGAAAAAGCACCACCAGGATCCCTCGGCTGTGCTTCAGTGGACTGGTGAGTTCTCCCTGAATTCCCGGCACCTAGTTCCTGTCACACACATTGTAGCAATTCTGTTACCATGCCAACTACTCCTTAGGCAGTCGGAGGTTGGCCTTTATTATCATAAGCAAGGGAACTGTTTCAGACATGAGCGAATTTGTTGCAATTTCCAGACAGCTTACAGGTTTCATGATACCGTTCCCTCGCGGCGCTGTCCAATCACAGAAGCAACATTCTATGTTCCGATCCACACCAGATGCCCCTCACTCACTCCAAGCTTCCTGTTACCTCATTCTAACAATATTTATGACATGGAACCCTTCCATTTGTCTTCTTTCATATTCTTAGTCTACATTCTTAATCTTTTTGACGATGACACGCTTTAGATCACAGCCCTCTGTAACCAATCACAACCCAGTATAGAGTATAGATACATGTTGGTTGTTTCCTTGCCTTATTGTGGTTTTTAATTGCCAGAGAGTTTCTATAGTTACTGGTTTTCTGGTATCGGACTCTTGCTTATTTGACATTACCTGTATTCTGTTATCCTGACCTTGGCTTGTGGATTGTATTCTCTTTATTCCAATTCTCTGCTACCTTTTGACCTTGGCTTGTCTATAAATATTCCTAGTCTGCTAGACATGTTCTCTGTCTCCAGTGCCAGCCTGGCCACCCTAAGGACCAATACGCACTTCTGTCTTGTTTATACTGTGGTTTGTTTGTTTGTTGGGTTAGATCAGTCCTAACAATTCGATGCTCTGCTATGATATTGATAATTTCCTTATACTGTATAAGACCTGGGTCTAGCGCAGACACCTAGACCCAGGTCTTTCAACAGGACCTTTATGAGTCGCTGCACCCAAACATGCTTGGCATTTATATGTTCTCCATTAATTCTCAAGCTGCCACTTCAACTAGTTAATGTGAAAGAGGAGAACTTTTTTGAATTAACTTAATGAAGTTAGAGAAAGTGATCAGACACACAATATCAGGCAAATGTTCTAGGGCTCAGAAACGTTCTTTTATTTTATCCTTACTTCTGAGATGCACCGACATAATATATAAAAAACAAAACAAAAAAAAAACATATATTGTTATTCTGAAATGCTAGGAAAGTTTTTTTTTGTCATCTCTCATTGTTCCATTTCAGTGATCAGATAATTACATTGATTTATAACTCATACCTTGCTATGAGAAGAACACAATAAATCCTTGCATAACACGTTTGTTATACTATTAACAATCATTTCCAGAATAACAAAGCTGTCTAGTTTAATCTATCAGATATGTCAATGTCATCCTCTGTATCTTCTTGTATAGTAAATTCAGGCTGACTGAATCCCTGACAAGGAATGAAAACTACATTTAAAAGGTTAAGCAACCCAGGCAGAAAATGTTTTAAAGGTTTCAGAAGTGCTTTACTAAATAAGATATGTCTTGATTTAAACTCTGTAGGCTTAGAAAATCTTAGGAAGCTTGCATTGCTGGGATTAGAAAATAGATAGGAAGATTCTGCCAACCAAAACGGCAAAGACCCAAGATTTTTCCAAATACACACCCTGGGAGATTTAATTAAGATAAACCCTCTGGATTCAGGGGACGGAGGATGAAGAAATCACATGTAGAAAGAAAAAGAAAACCTGCCATTTTTCCAACTTGCACTTATAAACCGGTTAATTCTGAATGATGTAGAGAATGATATTACTAAGCAATAACTATTTCTGCATATTTAGCGGCCACCTTAATCAGGTCCACAATAAAATCTCAAAGACCCATACAGTAGGGATGTGAGATTTTTTTCCCCCAGACTAAGCAGCAAATGGTAAAAAGGATATAAATGCATGCATACCAAATTATACTACAATAGCACTCAATGCACCATAAACATTATAGCTCACTGCAGTGGTTGTGATGACATCCTATTGGCATCCAGACCACATCTGCCCCTTGGAGTGGTCTGGGTGCACACTCCCACTACTCTTAACCCTGCAACTGTAATTATTGCAGTTTTTTATAAACTGCAATAATTACCTTGCAGGGTTAACTCCACCTCTAGTGGACTTCCTGGATCATAGGAAACCTGTCCTAGAGCGTCGCTGGACGTCCTCACTCTGTGTGAGGACCTCCAGCGTCGCTCATTTCCACATAGGAAAGCATTGAAATGCATGTGCATTAGGTCGGGATCAGTCTCGCCCACCGGCCGACGCAATCACTAGGAGGAGCGGCACGGAGGAAGAAGCAGCGACGAGGGACATCGTCACTGCCTCTGGTAAGTTACTGAAGGGGTTTTCACCCCTTCAGCAACCGGGGGTTGGGGGAGGGAGGGAGAGGGGACCTGCAGTGCCAGGAAAAGGGTTTGTTTTCCTGGCACTGAAGTTTCCCTTTAAGAGTCAAGCCATTTTTAAGAGGTTTGACAAGGCACATGTAAAGTGCATTTCGACATGCTCAGGCTGGGGTCATGATTCCACCCGTTGTACCAAGAAATAGAGTGATTGCTAGCGGACAGTCACTAAATGTTAATTTTATTTACAGATCAAGTGAGAAGTGAACAATACAGGGGGGCAGGAGGGAGGAGTGGTGGAAAAAATACTTCTTTATCACATATTAAAAGGGTTACTCCAATCACCATGATCCTTTCTGCTTTTAGAAGTGATCATGGTGGAAGGAGTCTGAATGTGCAATGTTACAAGCAGAATCACTGCACATACAGAGATATTTTCACTTTTGTTCTGGGAAGTAGTTGCATCCCCAGCACACGTGACACTCTTAGTATGGAATTCTGTTCCGCAATGCCATATGTCCATTCTGTGAAAAAAAAAAAAATTCCGTTGTCACCATGAACTGCACACTAGAAATGGACATTCATTGGCTTCTACCCCCTTTATTGACTTCAGTCTTCCCTCTATTATTAATAGTGCTTTTTAAAAATTAAAATAGCCTCCTCTTGCCGGCTCAAAGAGAGTGCATGCGTGACGTTGAGAAGTGGTGCAGAACGCAGCACTGGGTGCTTCGCATGGTGCTATATTCTAGCTAAGAAAAAACAACAAATTAATGGTTTGGTGGTGGGACCTAATGAATAGTGGCCTTCCATTTTTGCTTCTCTTTGGTTACTTTTGCTCACTTGTGAGGTCATTCACTAGAGTGAGAATTCAAATTAAATTTTAATTTATGGCCAAAAAGGATGTACTGGAACATATATAACATTTATAAATTATGCCAGGTGATGCACCTCATCTATATTCAACATTTAATTCCTCAACACAAAAACAATTACAGAGGCTTGAATTTAAAATAGACATTTTTCAATACAGGACTTATATATATTTAAGAGCATGGGAAGAATAAAATGTTTTTTCATTATACTGAAATGACAACTGTATTATACCATGCAAAAAAAAGAGTTGAACCACTGCAGTGTCTAGAAAATAATTTACCCACCACTGCTATCCAAAGAGTGTTTCCATATACCGCTACTTCCTTTCAGTGTGTAACAGTAAAACAGTATAGAATTAATGGAAACAAATTCAGGAATGTTTCATCAAAGCACCCCTTGTACTAGACTTTCTATTTTAGGGGCTATGCTCTGCATTTTATATTTTATTCTCATTTGTTCTGTTCATTATATATTTTTACGTGATTAAAAAAAAAATTAAGTTGCAAAATAATGGTAATTATTACCTTCTGCAAATACAAAAAAAAAGAAAGAAAACATATGCATCTGTGGCGAGCGCATTAGGCCCTCCCCATAGGGAAGCATTGTAGCAATGTTTTTCTGACACTGGATGTCCTCATGCAGATTTTGAGGATGTCCAGTGTCAGTTAGGTGATCAAATGTCGCCTAGCAAGCAGGAAGTGCCTCTAGAGGTAGTCTTAGTACTGCAATGTAAGCATTGCAGTTTCTCTAAAACTGCAATGATTTGCATTGCAGGATTAAGGGGGGCAGGGACACTGCACCCAGACCACGTCAATGAGCTGGAGTGGTCTTGGTGTCTATAGTGTCCCTTTAAAGGGGGGTGGGTAGGGGGTGGGAGGGAATATATTTAGAACTGTAGGAAAAAACAAACATTAGAAATTAATGTTTTCATTTCTAACCTTAGAATTTGCCTTTAAGCAGCAACTATTCTTGCCTCACTTTTTGGTATCAAGACCTTTTGCCCAGTCACATATGTAATGATTTTTCAGTTGCCTTTACTCTAGGAAATGATGAGACTACTAGGAACTTTAGTAAAATAAATGGGATTTGTGGTTAACTTCCAGGAGACGGGGATTTCGGCTTGAATAGCTTAGTTTATAAAGAAAACGAAAACAAAAAAACACAAATGGGCAAACGTTGACTTTTGATCAAAGGCATCGAGTCCTTTTCAAGAAACAAACCATTGCTGTATTTGGGCTAAACTCCGTTTATAAGATCTGATTCATTTTCTAATCAGATCTGCCACTACAAACCTC